CCTATGTTGGGTCGCTTCTGCGGCTGCTGGCTCACTTCTGCAATCTCGCACCTGTGGCTGGCCCTCTGCGGGTGCGATTGCATCAGAAGCTGGGTGCTTCAGCTATCCAACTAAGGCCAAATGACTTTCGTGCATCATCCAAATGGCATCCGGGGGCCCCGAGGCCCCACCCAAACGTACCAACAAGTTTGAAATCATAAAATGGACTCGCTCACACTCTCAGAACACAGATAACAACACTAAAACTAAGAATCATATGCCAAAACCAATAGAATCAGCTTATGAACTTCATGTTCTTCCAACTTACTCCGAACGCGCCGAATCCTACCTAAACTACTCGGAATGACTCCAAATTTTGTGTTCAAGTCTTAAATCATTATACGGAACTATTCCTAGGCTCGGTATCCTAATTGGACCTTGATAACCCAAAATCCTACTTCCAACCAAATTTAAAGAACTTTAAAACCTTCAATTTGCCAACTTCCAATATTAAGCTCCGAAATGCTCCTGAGTCATCCAAAACCCGATCCGAACATATGCCCAAGTCCAAAATCATCATACAAACCTATTGAAATCATCAAATCCTGGTTCCGAGGTCGTTTACTCAAAGCATTGACTCAAGTCAAACTTAGCCCTTTTTAGCCAACCTTAAGGAACCAAGTATTTTGATTTCAACCTGAACCCTTCCAAATCCCGAACTAGCCATCCCCGCAAGTCATAAAAAAGTAAAAGCACATACGGGGAGTATTATTTAGGGGAACAGGGATCTAGAAAGCAAAATGACCGGTCAGATCGTTACAAAGACACTCTAGTCAAAGTAGTTAAGCAAAGTTAAGATCATACAATTTAAGGTACTTATACAAGAGTCAAAAACTAAGCCTAAGTGTCACAATTAAAGCACTTATTGTTCTCAAGGTATAATAAAGTTAAGATATATTGCTTTCAATTCAATTCATAGCACAAGGTTTACGACTCCTAAAACAATAAAAACTAACTACACCCGGTTCAAATAAAACCCTTGGAAAAGAACTACGGCACAAAGAAAAAACCAAGGGGGGAATTATTATACTACCTACAAAAGAAAATCTTTTTGTCTTTTTCCTTCCGACTCTAATCCCTCAAGACCCGTCGATGATATCCATCGTCGGGTCAAATCGAAAATTTTAAACTTTTAATGTTTTTTTTCAATTTTTTTCTATTTCTACCTACTAAAATAACAAAAACTAAAACTAATATACATACATACATACAACATATCCCCCACCCCATACTTTAAGTTGTGGCATGTCCCCATGACACACAATTAAAAAATATAAGGTAAATGAAACTTTCCTGAACATCTAGTCGGGGTATGAGTCGAAGTCAAGCTCCATTCCTCACCTTTGAACTAATCCGCACATCCATGCAGACATCTTCTTCTCAGCCTTCTTGGGGTACACTCCACACTTATCTTTCTCACTCACCTCAGCTTTCTCTTTCGAGCCCTTCACCGCAGCTGGTTTTCCTTTTTGCACCCCATTTTCTACATTCGTCTTAAACGTCACAGTTTCCTCACCCACTCTAAGCATGAGTTTTCTCTCATGTATATCGAATATCGCTCTACCCGTTACTAAGAATGGTCTTCCTAGGATAAGGAGGACATCCTTATTTTCCTCCATTTTCACCACTATAAAATCCACAGGAAATACGAACTTATCCACCCGAACTAACACATCTTCCACTATCCCCTCGGGTATTAGAGTCGTTTGGTCTGCCAGGTGCAAGGATATTGGTGCATACATTATATCTCCGATCTCTTTTTCTAGTTTCCTGTAAATAGATAGAGGCATTAGATTAATTGAGGCACCAAGATCACATAAAGACTTATCAAAAATAATAGAGCCTAAAGAGCAAGGTATAGTAAAACTCACTGGATCTCCACACTTTTGTGGGAGTTTATGTTGCAATATCGCGCAGCAATGCTCTGTGAGCTTGACCACTGAGGTCTCTTCTATCTTCCTCTTCTTTGTAAAGATCTCCTTCAAATATTTAGCATAAGAAGGCATTTATGAGAGCACTTCTGTGAATGGTAAGTTCACATGAACCTGTTTCAGCATATCCAGAAATCTCTCAAATTGCTTGTCCAACTTTTCTCTATATAGCTTTTGGGGGAAAGGTAAAGCAGGCATATGTTGGCTCTCTTCAGGTTCCTCCCTTGTCAAAGTTTCTCCCTTCTTCTTTTTCTCAGATTTCATCTGGACCTTCTTCTTTTTATCAACATCATTATTCAGCTGCCCTCCACTTTCTTTTTCAAGTTTCACATCATTTTGGGTCGGGGTGAGATCTTTCAACACTTGCCCACTTTTCAAGGTTACAGCATTCACTGTTTCTTTGGGATTTCTCTCAGTATCAGCAAGGAGAGATTTCTTGATAATGATACTGTTGAGGCTAATATTATTGCCTCAGCTGATTTTGGAATGCTGAAGCTCCTTGTCCCTGGGTCTAGAGTTATTTTGTTGCCATGCATTTGCGGTACCCCCAGGTGAACTCCATGAAAAAATGGGGTGCATGTGTCCCATTACATTAAAATTATAGTTTCCCATAGCATTCACTTCCTCAATTGAGGCTTGACACTCATGAGTAGGGTGTCCTCTTCCACATATATCACACGCTACATGAGGCTCACTTTGTATCGAGGCTAAGGTCAGCTTCCTTATTTCTTTAGCCATAGCATCAAGTTGTACCTACACAGATGTGTTAGCATCAACGTGGTGAACACCAGTTGATCTTATTCTTACAGAACTCTCAGAGGGCCACTGATTTGCATCTTTAGACAACTCATCAAGAATTGTAACTATCTCCTCTAGAGTCTTCTTCATCAAAGGGCCTCCAGCTGCATTGCTCAATGTTCTACATGAGGCCGGTGTCAATCCATCCCAAAAGTCCTAGAGTTGCATCCAGAGTTCAATTCCACTATGTTGACATTTTCTAACAATCTCCTTAAACCTCTCCCATGCTTGGCAAAAGTTATGGATTTCTCTTTTAAACTTCCCCATCTTAGTTGAGGAGAAATATTTATCAAGGAATTTTCTGGTCATCTCGTCCCATGTTCTAATCGATCTAGTGGGCAAGCTTCGAAGCCACTACTTTGCATAATCTTTGAGTGTGAAGGAGAATGCCCTTAAGTACACTACATCTCGTGATACACTATTATATTGAAAGGTATTCATAATCTCCTCGAAGTACATTAGATGTGTATTTGGATCTTCGTTCATCTTCCCTCTGAAGACACAAAAATTCTGAAGGGTTTGAAGTAACCCTTGATTCAATTCAAAATTGTTAGCTGCAATTGGAGGTGGTCTCATACTTGATAAGCCTTGATTTTAGACTGGTCTAGCATAATCGCCCAGTGATCTCCTAGGCATGGGAGCTATATTTCCAAACTGGTCTGCAGCCAAGGGTTGATTTTGAGAAACTCCGACCCCTCTTTTCTTCATAGATACTATGTGCTTCTCTGATAGCTGCTTCCTCAGCATCCCGTGCAGCTTTTTCTCATTGTTGTGCTGCCTCTCTTGCAGCCAAATCTACATTATCATCACCAGTTCCAGCCATAGTTTCCTTGGTTGAGGATTGCCCAACCTTTTCTAACGTCTCGGTGAGATTTATTTCCTTCCTCAAATGTCGCATTTGTTTTTCTATCTTGGGCTCGTATGGTAGCACTTCTTTTGCGGAAGCTCGAGTCATGCACCAATCTAACTTGTAACCTGCGCACAGTCAAAGAACACCAAACATAAAAAGGGAAAGATAAAAAGAAAAATTCCTAAATTAGCACTAAAAACTATTTCAAACACTATTGATTTCCAATCCCCGACAACTGCGACAAAATTTGATGAGCGCAAAACACACACATAAATTCTGCTCGCTAATCAAATATAGTATAGTATAATACTGTATCCATAGGGATTGGATTTAAACAGTATTCTCGTAGTTTCTAGATTGGTTGCTATCCAAGATGATCAACATTTGAGATTTATAAGATGTCTAACTAAAATTAACTAGAATCTAAAGCTATTGACTAATGACAATCAAAAGAAGGAATAAGCAAATAAGGTTATTAATGGGAAAAGATAGTGTTTTGATAGGATAGGTTCAAGATAATTGTTTGGGATTTAACTCTAAATAATTCACTTTTAATGTTCAAGTGAGTCTCTCGAATTCACTCAATTATAAGGTCAAATGTTCAGCAAAAACTCCTCTCTCGATTAAGTTTTAACCTCATAGGTTGAACCAATTTAAGCACGTAAAGATATGCAAGAATGCGTAGTGGATTGGTCTTTAGGAAAACCTCTTTCGATTATTCTCCTAACTAGGTTTAATCAATGATTCACCTAGCCTCTTTCGATTACTTAGAAGAATCTATGAACTCAACAAATAATATAATGCAAAGATATCACAAGTTATGCCTCTCTCAATTACATGAACAAGTGAATATAGATGCAATAATTAAATCATCCAAAAATGCTTCAATACATAAAACTAGAGTTATAATCCACAAACAATCATCAATACACAAAATCCAGCAAATCCTAAAGAGAACTACTCCATAGATATGGAGTAATTCATTACAAATTAAATTAAAGTATAGGAAAACATAAATTCGATCCAAACTCGGGTCTTGAGTGAGGAAGGAATGATTAAATCCTTGTGCTTGTGTTCTTACAACTCCTCCTTAGCCCCCTTAGGTCTAAAGTATGTCAAAAAGACAAGAAATTAATATTTTTCCATATATTTATACCAAGTAGGGTCGGGCCCAGACTAAACCACCTTCTCCTAGCCGAAATAGGAAAATAACTCTGTAAATATTACACAGGCGCGCCGCATGGGGCGACGCACCATGCGGGACATTAGTGGGGAAATCTAGAGAGCTGATTTTTTTACTTTACAGGAATTTTGAACTAGCGTCCCGCTACGCATGGCGCGAGGCGGTAGTGTAATTTTCTTAGAGTAATTTTGTTTTCTCATTTTTTGACATCCAAACTTGGTCCTCGACCCCCCGAACACGATCTCGGCTGAATCCTTTGGGCATTTACTCAAACTTTAAATCTCCAAATAGCTCGGATTAGCTCCACAACATCTACATAGCTCAGAAGCACTTCTACAAGAAATAAAATACACAATAAGTACAAAACACTACCAATTCAAGATCAAACATGAATAATGTACAGTGCATTAAAGTACAATAAGTGACTAAAATACGAGATTATAGCATACCATCAAAACCTTCCATTTGAGATCCTACAGGCATAGTACATGTTCAACAACATTCAGTCAAGCTATTAGGTTACCAAAGTGAGCAGTTACTGAAATTGACAAGGGAAGTCCTCCCGAATAATGTCTCAGACATCACACGATCATAAAAAACCAAACATAAATGGCCAAAACGAAATAGGTAGATGAATGCATAACATCATTTTAAATTGACAAGTAGGAATACTGTGATACCCAAGGTTAAGATGTACCCATACCTTTATTAGATTATCATGATAACATCCAAGCCATTTTTTTATTTTTCAGCTAGACATAATCAATATAGACCAAGCATGACTACTATCTAAGGCTCTTTATCTAAGTAATTAGATTAGCATGATGAGATAAGCGCAACCATTAGGGAAGATTAATAGGAGACTACAAGCAAACCAACATGGTGACTTAAACATGAAGTTCTCTTAGCTAAAGGAATGCAATGGTTCCTGAACACTACTGGATTAGCAGAAACAATATGATAAGTGTAGACATAGGTGCAGAAGTCAAATAGGTATCATTCAGCCAATACAACAATATAGATGAAACATACTATCACAAAGCCAAAACAGTCATGAGATGCTAAAACGGTGACACTCATTGCATAACTGGTCCTAACAAGTTGCATCCAGATGTGTGAGCAGACCAACAAGGTTCATTATATGATTTCTTTTATTTCAGACCACCACAATAAACACATGAATCATTTAATCACATTATCATAAACAAGTTATCAATTGGAGTCAAAACGATCAACATGAGAGTGCGAACAGTGGTAAGATTCATTTTATTTAACAAAAACAATGCTACATGATATCATAAGCATAAGGATCAAGATAGCACAGTGCAGCAGGTGTGATATCTTAACAGGATATCAGGAGAAAGCTTAAAAATATAACTCAATCGATTTAGCTAACAGGGTAGGATGGCCATCATTTAACTAACAGGGATAGAACACACATAATATCAACATAAGGTTTGGCTCAGATAATCATAAAAGGTTCAATAGGATTTGTTCATAAGAGTAAAAATAGCGCATAAGCATTTTTACTAATTAAGTCATGACAGGTAAAGTTCAATAGCCATTGAAGACAACACAATTATCAGGAAACCCACTAATATTAAAAGAACATAGTGACATGAATATCAGGTTATAATAAGAAGAACCATACATTATCAAGAACAAACAGGTGATTATCGGGTAAACAACATAAACACAATATTGAATAACTAATTTAAAAAATAAAAGAGAGGGGTTCAGTATACACCGACCTTCTGTGGAGCAACAAACCAAGCAAATGAGATTAGTAATCGTCTAGGAACCCCAAACTCACAACGATCAACTCACGGTGGTTGAACTCGAACATAAATGAAAGAAAGAAAAATAAGAAAATAGATAAGTACTACTAGAACTTAAGCTTAGCAGAAAGTTTGAATTTTTATGCTCTTCATTACTTTTAGTGTATTTTCTGGTGTTTTTAGGTATGTTAGGTGTGAGTATTCAATGCTTTATTCATAGTGGCATTCAAGTCACTAGGGTTCCGTTTGAGTTCAATAGATAGTGGAGAATGACGATTGACAGATGATAATAGCAAGAAGTGGAAAATTAGAATAGAACAGAGGGGAAAATAATGGAGATTTTCGTTATCATGATAATGGAGGAGGAGTCGACCGTTTAAAGAGTGAAGGACCATCGGTCAGAGCTCCATGTCCAGAGGTCACTGCGTTTGACTTCTGGACAACGAATAATGATGATGACATTGAAGATCGATGGTCATGCATGCTTGATTTGAAGGAACAGATAAAGGATAATAGTATTCTCATTTGAACGTTTTAGGTCTAGGGTTTCGGAGATTTGGGAATTTGAATTAGAGTTGTGAAAATGGAAATAATCCGGTGGGATTCGAGGATTGAGGGGACAAAAGGGGTGATTTGGTTTGATTTAGGTGACCTTGCACAAATTTGTGCAAGGTTTTGGATTGATGGGGTTTGTAGAATTGAGAGAAAACTAAGAGAATGGGGAAAGAGGGCGGCGTGTCATGTGGAGGAATGATTAGCGTTAGTGGTGTCTCTTAGGTTAAAAGTGAGATGCAATATGAGTCGTTGGATCATTTGATCAACGGCTCCAATTTTTTGGAGTTTAGAAAAATTGATAAGCATTTATTGTGGAAAAAACGACGATCTTTTGATCTTTGTGATCCAACAGTTGAGATGAGATCCAGCAAAAGTTTAACAATAAAAGAAAAATAGAGATTAATTATGGACCGTTGATGAATTGGATCAATGATCCGGATCATTTTGTATTTCTTTTGTGAGTGTTGGAAAGGGATGGCGTGGCGCATTACCATTGGCTTAGAAGGGGCAGCATGGATTTCCATCTTGGACAGAGGAGGTGGGTTCTGGAAAGGGTCAAGCATTTTGGGCATGTGGTTTGGGCTAAATCAGCTGGGTATGAATTTAATTCATAGCCACATTGAATTTAATTGAACAATTGTAATTGTAGCCTTTTTGAATTTTAACCCCTTTTATAATCAAATTAATTAGACTTAATAAATCCTAATTAAATGTAATCAATTATAATTATCAAATATATTATTAGTTAATTACTGTAATTAATTGGTTAGCAAAATTAATTTGAATACTTTTTCTATTAAATTGTAAAAACTAATTTCGGCTAGTTAAAGTAATAAAGATAATATAGTTACAAATTTGGGACTAAATTATTAAATTAATTGTAATACTTGTTTATTAGATTGTAAAAGTTATTTTAATTGATTAAAGCAGTAGGAGTAGTAAAATAATAAATAATTAAAATTAAATTACTGTTAATTACCGAATTAATATTACTAACAACTATTATACTTATCATACCATTTATATTTTGAGAAAATAGGTATTATTAATTTGAAATTTTGTTACTACATATATTATTGATTAATAAGTGTAAGCGACTAAATTTAAAAGGGGAGGGTCAAAATTGGTAGTTAACAGCTGCCCCTCTTTGGCCAGAGATGATGAAAGAGCTTGTGGGAAAATAAATTGATTTAATAACCAATTGTTTCCTGACTTTAGGCATGTTTTGATCTTTGGCTCTCTTATGAGTTTGTTGTCCCTCATAGCGGTGTAACTTGGTTTGCTGCTTAGAGGAAGTTCCACATTGTAGTGTTTGAACCTGCAAAAAGGATGATACACACATACCTATATATAATAATACAAATACGTTAGAATATAATGTAAATATCCAGGAATGATAATGCATGGCTACCGGCTAGCCGTTATTTGGGATCTTTGGGCGATGGGATGTCTGAATCTGAAGTCTCCGAGCTCTGGAGCATTATTTGGGATGTCGGGATGGGTGTGTGAATCTAACTTGAATCTTAGCCGGGCTGTGTACCATTCCGCAGCTGTCAAAGAAGTTGAATCTCCACGCGATGGGAGTATTCGGCATTGAATTTCCTTGCGACAGGAATATTCGACTTTGAATTTGAATCTCCACGCGATGGGAGTATCTCCTCGCAATGGGAGTATTTGACTTTGAATTTAAATCTCCACGCGATGAGAGTATTTTAACTTTGAAGGTAAAATACATGTAGGCTGCATAAATAAACGTCAATATATTCAAGGTAAAAGCAGAGAAATAAATGAGCATGCCAAGAGGTACTCTTGATTGCAGAACGAATTGTGGTCTTCGAACGGCGGAACGTGTGATGAAATTGCATGGCCTATCCTTCGATTGGGGAAGTTAGAGATGAGGTTTGCAATGATCTATTTGGTATCTCCAATTTGACGGAGTGACGGTGCAATCTGTACAAAGTACTCTGATTGGTAGAGCAGACGATGCGGTATGTACAAAGCGCTTAGGTTAGCGGGGCAGTTAGTTTGGTATGTACAAGGTGCTCTGATTGGTGGATCAGACGGTTTGATATGTATAAGATGCTCCAATGGGAAGAGCAGACGGTTCGATATATATAAGGTGCTCCAATGGCGTCGGAGGCTTGGTTCCGGGATACCTGCAAAGAATTCAAAGTTAGTCCTTAGCTATATGAAAAATGAATTGAATAATAAAGGTGAGATATGGCTCATGAGGTTGTAGCGGGTCTAGTGTTGACTCCGGTGTGATCTGGCATCCCTTGATTCCTTTCAATCCTGCACTCAAAGAAAAATTCTTATTAGGGGAGGAGCGTTGATTTGTGTTGATTGTGGACCTGGTCTTGCCCCGAATCTAGTGAATTATGCCACGAAGTTCGATAGGTGGAAAAGTAGAATTTTCTTAAAAATTATTTTGCAAAATCACTTATGTTTATGGAAAACGCTGTCATTCTGGATTATGACATGTTTAGTCGCCCCTTCTGATGCGAGTATCGTTTCTAGATAGCTTGACTTTGCTGATGTTGTTTTTATGGATATTCCCCTGATGACGCAGTTTCCTGCTGACGTATTTACTTCCTAATCTAGGCAATGCATTATAGAGGCTTTTCCTAAGGTTATGACCGAACCTTTTCATGTTGCCTGCGTATCCAAACAGAATCAGGTCTGAACGTAGTTTGAGGATATGAAATAACGAAGTGATGAAATGATTGAACCTGACTCAGGCAGCCTACGTATCCAAATAGAATCGGGCCAAACTGTAGTTCGATTACAATATATGCAGAATGATAGAATTTTGAAATTATATGGCCGAGTCTGACTCACACAGCCTACGTATCCAAATGGAATTAGGTAAAAACGTAGTTCGATTACAATAAATGGATGAATTCGATATGGATTGCCTACGTATTCCTTCCAAAGGAAATCAAGTCATAGTGCAGTTCCGAATACATGGAAAACATCTTTTGGCTTTCTATTACAAGAGTGGGATTGGGCTCTACGCGGGTTGCCTACGTATCCTACCATGGGAAGTCAGGTCGAGCGTATTTCTGTTTCAATAAACCTAACTCTATTGTCTTTAAATATAGTATCTCTTGATTGCATCTAAATTGATGAGCTTCATACTTACTCTGTCTTCCATTTCTGCTAGGATTTGTGCTTCTCCTGACAATACTCGGTGAACCACATAAGGACCCTGCCAATTTGGCGCGAACTTCCCTTTTGCTTCTTCTTGATGGGGGAATATTTTATTCAAAACCAACTACCTCTGTGTGAATTGCCAAGGTTTCACTTTCCTATTGAATACATTGTCCATCCTATTTTGATACAGCTGACCATGACACACTGTGTCTATCCTCTTTTTATCGATGAGCATAAGTTGTTCTTTTCTAACACGTATCCACTCTGGATCATCTAACTTGGCTTCCTATATGATTCTCAAAGATTGTATCTAGACCTCCGCGGGAATTACAGGTTCTGTTCCATATACCAACATGTATGTCGTTGCCCCAGTAGATGTCCTCATAGTAGTGCGGTAACCAAGCAGGGAAAATGATAATTTCTCATGCCATTGCATGTGATTGTCTACTATCTTTTGCAAGATCATTTTGATGTTTTTTTTGACTGCTTCAACTTCTCCAATCATCTGCGGCCTGTATGCTATGAAATTATGATGGATGATTTTGAACTACTCGCAAATTTCCCTTATGAGATCGCTATTGAGATTGGTTGTATTGTCAGTTATGATTGACTCTAGGATCCCAATTCGGAAGACTATGTTGTTATGGATGAAATCTTCCACCACCTTCTTTGTGACAGCCTTGTATGTGGAAGATTGGATTCATTTAGTGAAGTAATCGATGGCTACCAAAATGAAATGATGCCCATTTAATGTGGCTGGGTCTATAGGTCCGATTACATTCATGCCCCAGCGAAGAACGGCCAAGGAGAACCTATTATGTTTAGCTCATTTGGCGGAACCCGGATGAAATTCCCGTGAATTTGACACTAGTGACACTTCTGTACGTATTGAATGTTGTCCCTTTCCATAGTCATCCAAAAGTATCCGTCCCTCGGAATCTTTTTGGCTAGAGTGAAACCGTTCATGTGAGGCCTGCATGTTCCTGCATGTATTTCTTCTAATAATCTTATTGCTTCAGTAGCATCTACACACCTTAACATAGCCAAGTCCGGGGTCCTCCCGTAGAGGACTTCCCTGTTAAGGAAGAAGTGATTTGCTAGTCTCCTCAATGCTCGCTTTTGACCATTAGTAGTACTCTATGGATACTCTCTTTCCTCGAGGAATCTTTTGATGCCATGGTACCAAGGCTTTCCATCTATCTCTTCTCTATGTGGAAACAATATGCATGCTGGTCTTGAATCTCTATCTCGACGGGGTCGGTGCAATTCTTGTTCGGGTGTTAAATCATGGATGACAAAGTTGCGAGAGCATCTATGAACTCATTATGGATTATGGGAACGTGCTTGAACTCGATCTTGGTAAACTTCTTGCATAATTCCCTTACACAATGCATGTATGGAAGGATCTTGATATTCTTAGTGATCCATTCTCCCTGAACTTGGTGGATCATCAAATCAGAACCCCTATGACCAAAAGTTCCTTAACGTTCATGTCGACTGCCATCCTAATCCCAAGGATGCACGCCTCGTATTCTGTCATATTATTTGTACAGGGGAACCTTATCTTAGCTGCGTTCGGATAATGTTGTCCTGATTCGGAGATTAAGACTGCCCCAATTTCTACTCCTTTGAAATTTGCAGCTCCATCGAAAAACATCCTCTACCTTGAGTATGACTTTGAATTATCTTCCCCAGTGAATAGCACCTCTTCATATATGAAATATGTGGTAAGTGGATTATAGTCCTTATCCACCGGGTTTTCTGTGAGATGATCGGCCAATGCTTGTCCCTTGATAGCTTTATGTGTCATGTACACGATGTCAAACTCACTGAGAAGAATCTGCCATTTGGCTAACTTTTCTGTAGGCATCGGCTTCTAAAAGATGTACTTGAGCGGGTCGAACCTGGATATTAAATATGTGGTATATGCCGACAAGTAACGTCTTAAAGTTTGAGCGATCCAAGTTAAAGCACAACAGGTTCGCTCAAACAAGGTATATCTGGCTTCATATGGTGTGAGCTTCTTACTCATGTAGTATATAGCTTGCTCCCTCTTTCTAGTCTCGTTGTGTTGTCCCAAAACGCATCCGAATGCATTATCCAAGACGGACAAGTATAGTAGCAGCGGCTTCCCAGGTTCCGAAGGAACCAGTACTGGTGGACTCAACAAATATTCTGTGATTTTGTCGAAAGCTTTCTGATAGTCTTCATAGCGGCATCTTTCTTCAATAACTTGAAAATCGGTTCACAGATTACTGTTGATTGGGCTATGAAACTGCTGATGTAATTCAATCTTCCGAGGAAGCTCATCATGTACTTCTTGCTTTTGGTAGGAAGAAAGTCTTGAATGTCCTTGATCTTCGAGGAGTCTAACTCTATCCCCTTTCTGATGGCAATGAAACCTAATAGTTTTCCCGCGAGAACTCCAAATGCACACTTTGCAAGATTCAACTTCAAATTATTCGGGAACTCCAAATGCACACTTCGTAGGATTCAGCTTCAAATTGTACCTTCACAACCATTTGAAGAACTTACTCAAACTGCTAAAATAATCTGCATTGTTACGTGATTTGATGATGACGTCGTTCACATATACTTCAATCTCTTTATGGATCATGTCATGAAAATAGGTCATCATGGCCTTCATGTAGGTGGCACCGGCATTCTTGATATAGAATGGCATGACCTTGTAGCAATATACTCCCCATGGAATGGTGAATGTTGTATTCTCTGCATCCTCTTCATGCATTAGAATCTGGTGATATCCAGCAATACAGTCCACG